TAAAGTCAAACGAGTTAAACGCGTTAGTAACGAATCGTTCGAATAGTAGTAGTCTCGCTCAGTGCGCATGCTCTGCGGTGATGACGTTTCGAACGAAACTCTAACGAAGTTCACGAAGGAAAGAGTTAGTTTACTTCGTTAAGAAAATGGCGCCCGACGATATCGATGTTTCTAAATCTACTCGAGTGTTTAAATTGTGAATTAAAAGATGAAATGATTGAAGTAACTGTCCACCCGAAGCAATCTAAGAAAAATATTTCGGATAAGGCTGTACTAGCAACATTTGTATCTTCGATTTTAGAAACAGCCATTTAGTTCTAAATGAATCGTTCGAAAAGTCTAACGAAATAAGAATAATGATGATATCATTCTCATTTAACTCGTTCAACTTTACGAACGTGCCCATAGTTACTAAATGGACACCATTTAGCAACTGATACTGAATCCAAAACAAGAAATAAAGTGCAGACAGAGATATACAATAAATTTAGAAAATAATATAGATGATACAATATAAATGTTCACATTTATAAAACAAATAAATAATTAATGTATTAAAACACTATTATTAGTGATTGTTACATATTTTTCCTAAAACACAAATTTAAATTTTAGTATTAAATACTGAAAATTTGTATACATGTATGTAATATCAACTAAGTTAATTGTATTTTACTGCTTATGAAAATCTATAAATGAATAATTTTGCATACAAAACATACAGGGTGATTCCAAAATAGTGGATAAAACTTCACGATGATGATAAATTATTCAATTTACAGTAAAAACTATTAATGTTCACCTGTCTGATAACCCAGTAACAGAGAAAAATCTTTATTTCAAATCACTTTACTATTTAAAAATTAATTAATACAAACCACCATTAATTTAGAAACAAGTTACACTTAGTTAACTAGCACTTAAATAAAAATTCAATTTACAAGAGATGCTCAGAGTAATTGCCTTCACTGACTACACAAGCTTCACACCTACAGATAATAGAAGCACATACTACAGTACGTTATGACATTGTTCGGGTCTCTCACAAAGCTAACACTTTTACAAATAATATGACAGCAGCCAATTTATTTGTTTTGTTGTTTTCAGGACTAACAAGACTTAAAACTGCAAATGATTGATATGAAGATTCCCTGTAATTCTGTCATCTTTGAGAATCAAACAAGAGTTTTTTCCCCCCTATAGAACGATAAGAACAAACAAGTTTTCCTTTTTCATCATAAACAATACATATTTTATATTTCAATGGAAGTAAAATGAAACAGAAATTTAAATTCTAGTCAAAACTCACCATAACATTTTTAACATCAACGCCTTCTAGCGTTAAAAATTCTTTTCTTAAAAGTTATCGTCTGCTTTTGTAATAAAATGCGGCAAATTTATTGATAAATGATATACTATTATTTTAAAATATAAAGTTAAATGATTTATAAATTATTAATGCAGCATCAAAATCTTAATTGTTCTAAACTATTACATATCTTTTATCAGAGTCGATAGATATGCGCTATGCTCTCAAGTAGAGTTAATGTGTCAAGTTGTCGATAGCTGGGGCTAGAGTCGCATTACGGCGAGCTGTTGGATTTATCTATTTCGGGACATTCCAATTTTCAATGCTGACTCAGCGCTGATCTCAACGTTCGTTAAAGGTCGTTCCTTTCTTCAACGTTAAAGTGGCGCTGTTGTCAGCACTGACTCAACGCACTCAGCACTCAACAGATACTGTATGTTGACCACTACTTTCCAATGAATTATGGGTAATTGGAGCGACATTTGAATGAAAATGCACGTTACTGTCGATAACAAAACATATCACTTTGTGGTTGATGAAAAAACAGCAAAAATGATGACGGAAGGTAATATTTTAAAAAATTGAATATCATTTCGAGTGAGCAATAAATTTATTTTTTATTGTTTTTGTCAGATCACAATTATTTACTCGCGTATATAAATAAACTTCGATCTGAGAATCAGAAGCGTTCAGCATGTACAGCATGATTCTTAACCACTGTGCCGCGAGATTTTTGAAGTGTGTCGCCACTGCGAATACCCATACATAAGCGGTGACGTTAGACAAGTACTGTAGTTCAGTTAGTATTACCCCGCGTTTCTTTATACAGCGCTCGAGAAGCGCTTTACAGCGAACACACTGAAACTGGTTTCTAATTGGCTAACACTGCTTGTGACGTCATTTCGCTACATTCTCGCTGCATAAAGAAAAGCGGGGCTACCTTCCTAGGGCGTGTTTGAAAATTGTAACCGGTGTTACCGATAACTGCCTGTAGTTACCAAGACGTTTAGAAAACGTGACTTGACCTAAATAACCAACTGCGTTTAAAATCACTGTTATGACGTCACCGGTTGTCCTGCAGTACTTACCGAAGTAACCGTGTGTGCCTCCAAATTTTTAATTATTAAAAATGTACTGTGACGATAAAAGATTAAGAATTACTGATCTACAGGTACAGTAAGACCCCGCTTAACCTGGGGGATGCGTTCCTAGACGACAAAGCGCTAAGCGAAACAGCGCTAAACGAGACCATTTTAACATAGAGCAGTGTTTCTCAACGGGGGCGATATCGCCCCCATGTGGACGTTTTTCCATGTTGAGGGGGCGATTAGTAACAATTTATATTTTGGGGGGCGACATAGTAAAACATTATATTAAGAATAATTAGATATTTTATTCGTTATATCGTACAATAATTAAACAAATAACATTAGCCTAGTCACTAGTCTATTCAATGCAGTACGAATTTGGCCCTCGGCATCGGAATTTATAGTAAAGGGGGCGATACTACGTAACGGTTTTATTGAAGGGGGCGATACTACGTAACGGTTTTATTGAAGGGGGCGATACTACGTAACGGTTTTATTGAAGGGGGCGATACTACGTTGAAGGGGCGACGATTCGTTAGAGGTTGAGAAACACTGACATAGAGTAAATAGGGATAGTGGAACACGTAACCGAAAATAAAAAAAAAAAATTTTTTTAATTTACTTTAATTTTAAGTTATTTTTATATTAATCTGTATAATAATGTGTTAAATAACACATAGGCAGATACACATAGAAATGTATAATACATTAATTAGTTCATTTTTTGTGACGAAGGTACTGACTTTTCTGAATTTTTTTTTTTGCAATAAAGTCATGAAGTTTCATTTGTCGCTTTTTTTCTCTCCTTAAGCAAATGTCAGTAGCAGAAGATCGCATCCAAAACGCCTCGTTTTGCTTTTGCATTCCTTTCAAAATCCAGATCATACGCTACAATTTGATCAAGGATTTCGGTTATCGTTACCAAACTTTTACTAAAGAAATCTGTAGCAAGTTCTTTGGGTTCTTCGTTTTCAGAATCTCTGTTTTCCAGTTCTACACGAATTCCTTGTTCTGCCAGTTCTTGAAGTCATCGTTGGTAAGGCTCTTACCAGAAACCTGCAGTATCTCCCCAATATCCTGCTCGTCTACATCTCCTGTATCGATTAAGTTGACAATTTTGTCAACCTAACGATACAGCGATTGACTCTTCTCGATGAGAATTCTTGGATACCTTCAGCCATAACTTCTTCCATACTCCGTTCATGAATTTATCAGTTAATTATTGCCAAGCAAAGTCGCTATTTCCTATGGCATCCATGATATATTTTTTCCAAAATTGCACAAAACAAACATGGTAAGGGAACTACAGCGCTACGACGAATTGCCATCTTTTACTGATTGGTTCGTGTTTGGGAATAATCGTATTATATACGAATCAATGAAATGCCGCATTATTTTGAATCAGCGTAAATTTTGAGAGTTTTTTAGGCGTCAAGCAGACCGCATTATATTGAATCAGCGTTAAGCGGGGTCTTACTGTACTGTACCGTACATATTTTATTTATATTAATAACAAATTTAACGTTGTATTTAACCAAACAGATAATTATTGTTTTTATAAATTTTAATGAAATACCTCTATTTAATTTTTTACATATATATTCAATGAAGGAACAATCAACATCTGAGAGATCGGAAAGAAATGTACCGGTACAGTCTTTACAACTTTCTGAAACAGAAAAGATTGGTAAGTATATATTAAATAATAATATACAGTAAGGATACTTTGTAATTATATTGAGATTTTCTTTTAATTAATGCAATTCAAACTGAACAAATAAACAAATAGCAGCTTTATATAAATAAAGACAATATACACTTATTAGAATAAGGGTTCATAAATTAATTTTTTGACATTTATTTTAATGAATGAATGAACGTTCTATTAAAATTTATAATTATTAATCCTCTTTAAATGTAATAGTTCAAAAAAATTTTCTTGACAATACCAAAACACTATGCAGTATTATACATAATATATCAGATATCATGTTAAAGATTTTGTGTAAATAATATGTTGAATTATAGCAAACTATAATAGAATGCAAAATAAAGATATTTTTTTTTATTTTTAAATTAATAAATGGATTCGCCAAGAGACGCTGTTACTAATCAATACCAGATTAGAAATGGAGGAAGAATTCCTCGAATCAATCCAAAAATCCAAATTATGGCAGAGGATTTCCGACTGTCTTAAAGTAGGTACACATTTCGGTCCACGGAATTCCATGCTAAGTGGCAAAATTTAATGTGTACCTACAGGGAAAATGTAGACAGATCGAAAGAGTCCGATGGTGGTTTCATAAAATGGGAATATTTCCATAAATTTAATGAAGTTTATGGAAATAGATCAAATGTGAATCCCCAGTAGTTATCTACGAAGTTCTCTGCCGTGAAGTTCTCTAATAACAATTTTCATTCAAATGAAAATGAAAATTTAATTTCTGCTTCCAGTAATTCAAATTCCAGAAGGGAAGAAGCAGAATCCACAGAGAGACCACCAAACAAGAAAAGAACTGGTGATGAACCACCATTATGGCTTAAAAATTATTTATAAAAGAAAGAAATAGAGGACAAAAGAAAAGCAGAGATAGAACAACAACGGTGGAATTATTAAAAAAAAAAAAAAAAATGAAGAGAAAATAAAAGCCATGAAACAGTTAACAGATGTTTTGTTGAAATTGGCAGGAAATAAGAAAATGTAAAATGTTTGTATATCTTAATAAAATTTTTTCTGTTTTTGATGACTCATAAATGTATTTAAGATTTATCAAAATACATCTATTCAAAAAATCAAAGCATTTTCAGTAATGAACAAAGTTTATTAGAATTATGTAACTCACAATTACAAATAACTAAAAGTAATAACAAAATGTTAAATACATCAGGGGTGTCCAACCCGCGGCCCGCGGGCGGCCCAAGGCAAGTTCCAATGCGGCCCAATAAACATGTAAACAAAACCGACAAATGTTTTAATTTTTTTATTATTTATTTATTTCAACGGCATAAACTAAAAAAAGAAGTTTCACAAAGCTGTAAACCTTTATTCATATTTTATTTTTGAGTGGAAAGAAAATATTTTCAAATACTTGGAGATGTGTGAATGCGGAAGGATTACTAAATAAAGCTGGAGTTGTGACTCAAAGGATTTTAGACCCAAATTTGGGAAAAGGAGGGAAAGATGAGAAAGGACAAAAGATGTAGTAATGAGAAACGTTAAATAGATCTTCTGTTAATCAAATATGGACCCGTAATTTTTCAACCTTTTTCACTTCTTTATCTTTTGTCCTTTGCCTCTTTTTCCCCGCACTTGGGTGTTTAATCCTTTGATTCACAACTCCAGCTTTATTTAGTATTTCTTCCAACGTTGCAAGATTTGGCTACATTGCGCCAAATGTGGCTACTTTTTTTTGTTTGACGTAAAAAATATCATTTGGCGCTTTGGCTACTTTTTGGGCTACATATTATTTATAAATATATTAGTTGAATAAAAATGCACTTTAAAATGGTGTTTCGTCGCTTTTTATTAATTAGAGACCCAAATAAAACAAATATTTGTGTTTTTCAAATAAATTTTCGTTTGTCTCTTTTATAATAAATGAATTTATCTATTTCTAAGTAAAAATTGAAAGTGTCTGTAGAAGTAATTTTTTAAAATATCCTTTTTCGTGATAAAGTTTTAATACTTATTATTATAATCTAGACATGTTAATCCTTAAATATACTTGTATATTGGGCCACAAGTATATATAATATATACTTGTGGCCCAATATACAAGTATATTTAATTTTTTAATTATATTTTGTTTCTCTGGGCCGCATTGGAAGAAGTCAAGGAGTGGCCCAAAACTCCTTGACTTCTTCCAATGCGGCCCAGAGAAACAAAAAGGTTGGACACCCCTGAAATACATGATTAATACTTTTCTTGAAACTGGTTCAAATACAGTATTTAATCTAAATTTTGTTTAA